AAGTACATGAGTTCCTTGACCAGGTCAGAGGAATTTGCCAGAGCCTCAGAGCCTCAGACCATGGTCTGATAACTCTAGATAGGGGGTCATAGAATAGCCCAAGATGCTGATAGGTTCTTTAGTTGGAGGACTTCATCATTTGACCAAGAACTTGGATAGAATTTTTATTTTAAATTATTTTGCTAGGGAAAATAAAGAACCTAAGACAATAAAATAATTTTCCATCTGTAGCCAAATCTTAGAAAACGTCTTTCTTCCTATGTAGAGCAAAATAAACAGGCATGAGTATATGGAACTATATATTATGTGGTGGTAGTTTCTCATAATGAAATCAAGGAACTTCTAGAGAGTCATCTCTGCTTATGCCCAACTCCTTGAGTATTTTCTTAGCCGATGCAACTCTATAAATCCATTTGTCAAATATAGACTTTTTGGGGGGAAGACAGTTCTGGGTTATATAGTATTACAAGTACATTCATTGCAGTTTCAGAATGAAAAAAGTTATTAGAGAAAAAGGCCGGGTGTTGTGGCTCACGCCTGTAATCCCAGCACTTTGGGAGGCCGAGGCAGGAGGATCACGAGGTCAGGAGATCGAGACCATCCTGGCCAACATGGTGAGACCCTGTCTCTACTAAAAATACAAAAAAAAATAGCTGGGTGTGGTGGCATACACCTGTAATCCCAGCTACTTGGGAGGCTGAGGCAGGAGAATTGCTTGAACCTGGGATGTGGAGGTTGCAGTGAGCCGAGATCGCGCCACTGCACTCCAGTCTGGCGCCTGGCGACAAAGAGAGACTCTGTCTCAAAAAAAAAAAAGAAAGAAAAGAAAAGGTAAAATTTTATTTTGTAACCATTTCCTCTTTTATTACTGGCTTAGGAAATGAGGTGGATGAATTAATGAAGATAACTGCAGCTGAGAAATGTTAACATGAAGTCTTTTTCCCACCTTTTCTTTACAATGCCTGGTACCTAAATTTTCCACTTTCTCGGTTTTTTTTTTTTTTTGAGACAGAGTTTTGCTCTTGTTACCCAGGCTGGAGTGCAATGGCGCGATCTCAGCTCACTGCAACCTCCGCCTCCTGGGTTCAAGCAATTCTTCCGCCTCAGCCTCCTGAGTAGCTGGGATTACAGGCACGCGCCACCATGCCCAGATAATTTTTTGTATTTTTAGTAGAGACAGGGTTTCACCATGTTGACCAGGATGGTCTCGATCTCTTGACCTCGTGATCCACCCACCTCGGCCTCCCAAAGTGCTGGGATTACAGGCTTGAGCCACCGCACTCAGCCTGTCCACTTTCTCATTTTAAAAATACTTACACTATTTCTTTCCTCTAAGAAGCCCAAAGTACGTTGTGATTGGTAATTTATTAATTCTTACAAATCTCTATTAGCAAAGTAGAATGAAGGATTTAAAAAAAAAATATTTCATAGATGTGGATCTAAAAAAAAAATATCAGTTGCAATTCTAGGGACAAGACCAAAGCGACAGAGTCTTAACTCAAGGCTTTCTTCTACATGTTTGAGGTCTTATTTTTATTAGCAGCAATTGTTTAGTGAATGAGATTTCCTGTTTTTTTCATTGTGGCTTTTTTTTTTCCCTCTAGATTTTCCATGATGATGATGCCATCCCTGGATGGGAGGGGAAAATTGTAGCTTGGGTGGAAGAAGACCATGGAGAAAATTAATGCCACGTATCAGATTGAGGGCTTGTGGGACCTGCTCACTCCCAGGCTGCTTCACTCAGGAAAGGGAGCTAAAACCAGAACACACTAAGAAGTTTCTAGTTTGTACACCCAAACAGAAGCTTTTCCAAGTATGATGGCCACAGGTCAGTCCTATTTCTGTGCCTGGCATACCTGGTACTTAAAATTCTGTCCAAATGTAGACCATGGGTTCATCTGGAGTTCCTTGTCCATGGGAACACACTGTTGTATTCTACTCTGAGGACAAAAAACCGAAGGCCTTAAACAATGGGGATGGATGATCCCGCCTCTGTAGGGGCATGGCTGCTATTATCTGGAAACTAGGAATTGGATGCGTCACTCCTGTACGTTACAGTATTATTTTAATTGGCCTCAATGGTTGCAGCAATCAGAGTCCCAGCATTTGGACTCACAGACAAGGCAAAGGTACCAGCTTTTCTGTTTCTTAGAAGCTACTGCAAACCAAGAATAACTCGAGGTGGTACCAAAGATGAAAGCCCAGTCTTCAGTAGTCTTTTGAACCGGATGTGGATGGTGCTGAATTGTTGCTTGGATGGGAAAAGGGCTGCCCATTTCGCACTACACTATGCTAACACGGTACTTACTAAGACCTTCGGCTGCCTCTTCTGTCTTAATTGGTTCTGCAGCTTGTCCTTTTGCCCACATAGGGCCTATTTCACGTACTGTTGGTTTTCTCTGGGGACTCTTAACTTGAGAGCCATTTCTTTTTCTTCCAGCTGATGAACTTTGTGTTTGAAAGGAATAAGGAGTGAAAAGCTCCTTAAAAATCCAGGCGGGTATGGAAAGGTGCTGCTACCCAGATCTTTTTACTGTCTTTAACTCATGGCATCTCCTTTGTAGTTAAAAGGAGACAGACCATTAATTTCAGCATTTCTTTGCGGTTTACCAGGACTGAGCATGAAGTACTAGTCTGCCCCTCCTCATTTCAAGGCCAGAGTTATTTTCTATTTATGTATTGAGTCTAGGCTGATCCTTTAGGGTACAATAGAAACCATGGGGTGTGGAGCATGAGTTGTGAATGGCAGGGATCATTCTGGGTGAAAAAACCCAGAATCATTTCTCATGTGCAACACTGTCACGTGAAGAAGCTAACAGTTCAACTACCAAGATTATTTGATAACCTGGGTTTTCTCATTCATCCACCAAGCACCATCAACCAATCAGCCATATTATTTATATATGTATTACCAAACACAGTCTGTCTGCCTGTGACCTCCAATGTACACTGCCAAACACAAGAGTAGGACAGATCCATTCTGGATTCTTGACCCGTCTCCAATTCATCTCCCTTTTCAGCCATTTCAACAAACTACTCTTTGGAGCTCTAAGATGACATCCTGTTGTTTTATATAGATGTGTCTTTTAAAAACAGTTCATGTTTGGAGAATTCTTTTGTACTCATTTGCTTTTTGTCTGAGAACCATGTCTATTTTTATAACTGGAGTGTGAGTTCTGTATCTTCTCACATTCTGTATACTGTATCCATTTTCTAGAGAACCCAGTAGCTTTTATACGTCTCTTCTTACCACCCCTTGTGGTTTCAGAACAAGCTTTACTTTATTACAAGAATACTAATGACAAGTGATTCCTATTCCAGTTCTACCTATTTTAGTTGTGAAGGTAGTTTTGTGTAATCCAGTTGATTGCTCCTGTAGCAGAGAGAAGGAACTCAAAAGACACTTGATGTCTTTCATGTAAGTTTACCTGGTCTTTTCCTATTGAAGCATTTTTCATCAGAAATGACTGAGAAAGTTTGGGAAAGTCAGCCAAAAGAAAGAATTCATTATGAAAGCAAACAGAAGAAAACAGTATATTCTCACAGTTTTTTCCCAGGAAGTCTGGAGAAAAAGTCCTCATGTCACCAATTTCTCTTTTGCATGAATTTTAGTGTTTTGCTATAAGACAGCATGAGGGCTATCAGGCCAAAATTCATTATTGTATTTCTAATACAGTTTGTCTTGAATGTCTGTCTCTTAAAACAGTTTTTACTTGTCAGTTTTCTTTCAGCAAACAGTCTATTATGTGGAATTTAACTTTCAAGAGAAAATTTCCAAAGTCCTCTACCTTATTTGGCTTTTATCTCTGTCTTTTGGAAAGGAGCTGCATGGCCTCAGTGCCTCCATAAAGAGCTAAAGTTGCATTTACGGGAAAACATAAGATCGTTTTTTTTTCCCTTTAGCTCAGTAATCTCATGTACCACAGGTAATGACCAAGCATCTCTGCTAGAGGATGCACCTCTCATAACTCCTGTATAAAATATGTTGGTGATCCTCATTCCAGTTTCCAAAGTGAGAGGAGCCTTCTGAGCAGAAGTATGCAAGACTCATTCTGTTGGGAACAGCTTCTTACTTGGCTGCATTCTAGAAGGCCTCCTGACTTGTTCACAATATTGTCCCCTGGTGGCATTGGTGTGGGATAGTTCGTCCTGCTACTTGCTAAAGTTCTCTTTGAGAAAACTGAGGAACCAGAAAGCTTAGAGTTCATAAATTAATCTCTAAACCATGTTAGGTTAAAACCAAATGACCATCTCACAAAAATAAGTTTAGTTTACAAAATCTTCATTTAAGGCTGGGTGTGGTGGCTCATGCCTGAAATCCCAGCACTTTGGGAGGCCAAGACAGGAGGACTGCTTGAGCCTAGGAGTTCAAGACCAGCCTGGGCAACATAGCAAGACTCCGTCTCTACAAAGAAATTTTATTATAAAAGTAGCTGGGCATGGTGGTGCACACCTGTAGTCCCAGCTATTCAGGAGGTCAAGATGGGAAAATTGCTTGAGCCCAGGAGTTTGAGGTTGCAGTGAGCTGATTATGCCACTGCACTCCAGCCCAGGCGACGGAGCAGGACTCCATATCCAGAAAAAAAAAAAAAGGCATTTGAAAACTGAAGACTGCTCAGTTCCCTAAATTAGCTGGGGGGACTGGAACACTTCACAATGTTTACATTTTTAAATTTGAAGAATTTGTTTTAAACTTACTTGGTAATGGCAATTCTACTTACTTACCAACTTTTCAGCTCTTTTTGACCAGGATAGGTGCAAATTAGGGAAGATATCTTTATACTCTACATCCAATCGAAGAGGACTCTAATTACTAAAAAGCATTTAGGTCCTAATTATTTTTACTGTTTTCATAAAATAAGCATTATGATTGCACACTCCTTCTACTGTCTGAATTTATGTAAGAGGTATAGCTTGCTTAAAATACATATATATGTAAAATTATATTTTCTTAGAAACATGGATGTTTGCAACCATTGCTTTCAAAGAGATTATTACTGTGTATTCTCCCTGTTTTACAATATGTTTTCATGGAGACTATGTTATACCAGAGGCTTCTGATTTTCAAAGCGATAACCAGTTTTAACTGCCGGTATGTACCAGACTTGTGAACTAATTTAAAAAAACCACAAACTATGAATAAAATGGAGTTTGCAAACTAAATATCATTAATGATTTTCACTTGTGTTTATCAATGAGATTAATCAATAAAGCCATTTGTATTTAGTGAAAGCAAATTTCCTCAAGTGATCTCCCTGGTAGCATGGTTTACTCATTATGTGGAGAGAGGAGATAAGGGTTACTTTATTGCTATAGACATTTTACAATTAGTATTTCTGTATAAGCGCATATCAAGGACAATTATCAAGTACAATTTATTTAGCTCTTCTTTTGAAATTACATGTGAACATGCAAATAAGAACCCAAGAGTATAAACTCAATGACAGAAGTTACGTATGCTTTGCAAGCATTAAGAACTCTTTCAGAAACGTATATTTAAAACAACCAGAATTCCCAAATCATTTGAAAGCTGCCCCTTAAATGCCTCTTATCACTTCAACTTAAATGTTTGCTATATTGAATTCTTTATCCCTGAGTGCCTTCATTTGTCCAATTACGTATTTTCAGCTATTAATTGGCTATCCCATTATGTTAAAATTAAATATGTACATAACTCAAAATCTTTCACTACCAACTAATTTCTCTTTCTCTCAATATCAGTGATATCACCATTCTCTAAGTCTCTCTGCTTCAAACCTTCGAGTCTTGAGTCTCCTTTTCCATAATTTCCTTTATCCATCTGTTTAGTGGAATCCAAGCCGGTCCTCTCAGGACTGATTTGACAAACCTAAACATTCTTAGCCTACCTTTGGGGTAAACTTGTCATCTCTGGACTGTTTGAGCTATGCATTCCTATAATTTAGCTACTCGTAAGTCAAAAGTATATTCGGGATACAAACTTGCTATTCTTTGAAAAATGCAAAACAAGGTTTAAGTAAGCATACCTAAGTGCACAGAGATCCTACAGATCACCTCCTACTTTATACCAAAGGCTAATTTAGTTCCAATTATTCAAATGCAGCGGAAGCAGCGACAATTTATAAGTCCTTGCTGTTAAAAGAAAGTCCTTAAGAGGGGAAAGAAAAAAAAACACAATAATTTATAAGTCCTGGCTGGGCACAGTGGCTCACGCCTGTAATCCCAGCACTTTGGGAAGCCCAGGTGGGTGGATCACATGAGGTCGGGAGTTTGAGATCAGCCTGGCTAACGTGGTGAAACCCCCATCTCTACTAAAAATACAAAATTAGCTGGACATGGTGGTGTGTGGGTCAAGATGGCCAGGGGGAGACCTTTATTAATTCTAGCTAAATAATTATAAGCTTGATTGGCTCACAGTGCACTGAAGTTTATACACCAAACTAAACTATATTATTGGTGCAGTTAATTAGAAATCAAGCAGCCACAGGAGGCCTAAGGTGTAAAGACCACTGGGGAGCGCAGTAACACCAGGGAACACTGAGGGGTGGTTGCAGAGCAGGGAATACTGCTCTGGTCCCACAAATGCCTTCTCAACATGGCGACTGCATGAGGGTCTCCTAAAGAGGGCTTGTGCAAAGATCTCTGAGAAGGGAGGCGACCTCTGCTCACAAGATCTGGGAGGGTCTTTGCAGATGGGAGCTGGCCAGGAGGAGAAACGCCTTGCAAGGCCAGGCGCGGTGGAAGGCGGAGATCACGGAAAGCCTCAGCCTCTGCCTAGGTTCTCCGAATATGGAGTGATTTTAATTGTTCTATGTCTTCAATGCTTGGGAGATAAAAGCCCCTTGAAGTATTGGGTGTGGTCAGACTGGGTGGCTCCTCCTCTGCTATACTTCTGCTGCAGCAGCACCCTGATAACAATAAGTGATAAACTCAGAGTACTAGTTTAGCATGTTTTAGACAGATCTCAAGTGCTTTTAAATGCTTAGACAGTAGTTTAGCATGTCTTAGAAGGATCTCAAGTGCAAGTGCTCCCCTGCCCCATCTTACCTACCCCTTCACCCTCCCCTTCCATGCCCATTACTTCAATGAGATTATGCACAAAATAAAAGGGTTTGGAGCCCAGAGCTCGGGGCCAACACAGTTCCCACACTTGCGTTGGTCCCCTGGACGCATGCTGCAAATTCTAGCCTTGTGTCTCTGTCTTTATTTCCTTTTCTCAATCCCTCCTCACTGCCAGGACTAAGGGCATCTACATACGGGGTTGGGGCTGGTACCCAGCAGTGGCACGTGCCTGTAATCCCAGCTACTCAGGAGGCTGAGACAGGAGAATCTCTTGAACCCGGGAGCCTGGGTGACAGAGTCAGATTCTGTCTCCAAAATAATAATAATAATTTATAAGCCCTTTTACTAATTACAATTATTCTTCCATTGCTTCTTCCAATTGTTAATTCATAAGCTGTATATAATTGTAACAATATAATTGCCCTCCTCTTCATATTATTTCAAATATGCCTTTTCATTTAATCTGGAAATTTTATATTTCTCAATTATATTGCCTACATATCATTCGATTAGGCAGTTGTACCTGCTTAATAAACATTTCCAATTTAAGTAGGCATAAAACAGTATATCCGATCTGTTTTTACTTTTCCAAATTAATTGTTAGCAAGATTAACCACCCCCAACACACACCATTTTTTAAGAGACAGATTCTTTCTGTGTTGCCCAGGCTGGTCTCAAACTCTTGGGCTCAAGTGATTCCCCCACCTCAGCCTCTCAGGTATTTATTGCTGGGAACTACAGGCACGCACCATCGCTCCTGGCTAACATCTTGTTTTAATGTTTTTCCCTCCAATTTCTTCTTGTGTTCTTGGTGTTGTCTAACTGTGTGTACACTGGGGAGGTGGTGATACAAACACAGCACATGCTTCCTCCTTATCTAATGTCACCTTAATTGATACGTTTTCTTTTATTTTTTTTTTGAGACAGAGTTTCACCCTTCTTACCCAGGCTGGAGTGCAATGGGGCGACCTCGGCTCACTGCAACCTCTGCCTCCTGGGTTCAGGCAATTCTCCTGCCTCAGCCTCCTGAGTAGCTGGGATATAGGCACATGCCACCGTGCCTAGCTAATTTTTTGTATTTTTAGTAGAGACAGGGTTTCACCATGTCGACCACGATGGTCTCGATCTCCTGACCTCGTGATCCACCCGCCTCGGCCTCCCAAAGTGCTGGGATTACAGGCGTGAGCCACCGCGACCGGCCTAATTGATATGTTTTCTTTCTTTCTTTCTTTTTTAAAGACGGGGTTTCACCGTGTTGGTCAGACTGGTCTCGAACTCCCCACCTCAGGTGATCTGCCCGCCTTGGCCTCCGAAGTGCTTGGATTACAGGCGTGAGCCACTACGCCCAGCCAATTGATATGTTTTCTAATTAAAAGCTAACCTTACAAGAGAAGCAAACCTAACAAAATGTCTGGATGACTTTCTGTTCATTAATTCAAAAGCTATACATTCAGCCACCGCTAATTACTGTATACTAAGCTCTGGGGCTACAGGGAAGAACCACCTCCACACACTTCCTGCCTTCAACGGCTTCCAGTTAAGTTTTGGTAGGAAACATATGAAACATAACGCTTTTGGTTACGTAATAGAATTCTATGGTATTAGGGGTAACAGAAACATGTTCTGTAACCTATATTTTCATAAAGGGAATATGCTTAATCTTGCTACAGTATACACGAATGCGGGAATCTGTCTTTTCTGGGCTGCCTTTCGTACCACTTGGCTGGAACACCTGTTCATTTCACTTCAAGTTGGGTACAAACCTGAAACGAAATCTTTGTAACCCAGTACAGCCTGCGCCCGGTGGGGCCCAGTCCGTCCTCATGACGATGCGCGGAAGTAGAGGTCACCAGGCTGCACCTCTCGATTCCCCCGCAGGCGGTTCCTCGCTCCTTCACCACCCCAGGGCTCCAAGATCCCCGCCCTTTGGCCTGAGGCTCCCACTGCCCAGCCAGTTCCCTGTTCACTCCCGGCTTTTCCTCGAAGCTGGGCCACGCCCCTCGGCCCAGACTCTCCGGCCACTCGGCCGCGGTGAGCCCGCGTCTTTGCCACTGTTGAGACCTCTCCCTCTCGGTCGTACCCTTCCCGTCTCCTGGGCCCCGCCGGATGCCTCCCCTAGGACCCCACCACTTTCCGTCTGTTATTTCTCCCAAACTTGCGCCCGCACAGGCCCTGCTGGAACACCCCTGCCCCGGGGGGGGGGGTGCCCCTTGTACCCACTCCAGAGAGGAAGGGCGTGGGTGCGGCGCATTTCTGGCCTGGGGAGGGGGTGGAATAAACCTGCGGGGCCCATTTTACGACACCGTGCGGCTGTGCGGCGTGGCTGACGGCAACGCCGTGCAAGTCTTGGAGAGGTCACTTCGGAGACGGCGTTGGTTTTGGGGTGTGGGGGGTTGGTGGCACTATGTGGCGCGTCTGTGCGCGACCCGCCCAGAATGTAGCCCCATGGACGGGACTCGGGGCTCGGTGGACGGCCTTGCGGAAGGGACCCGGATCTCCACGAGTGACCTCGCGATCTGGCCTGGCTCCGGCTCGTCGCAACAGCGTGACAGCAGGGTATGGCGGGGTCCGGACACTGTGTGGCTGGACCCCCAGCTCTGGGGCCACGCCGCGGAACCGCTTACTGCTGCAGCTTTTGGGGTCGCCCGGCCGCCGCTGTTACAGTCTTCCCCCGCATCAGAAGGTGAGCCCTCGACCGGTCCTTCTCGGGACGACCCGTCCTTCAGAGCCGACTGGATGGCTGCACGATCCTCCTTGAGGGGCCTCATTGATCCTCCAGCCATTCCCAGTATCTGCTTTCGCCCTTTGTCCAATTCAGCTTTGCTGTGTAGCTCCTTAGCTTCCCTCTCATGGTCTATTCCATTGAAAGGAGAGCTTCAAGACTGGGGCAGTATGCAAAATACCTGCCGAGGTTCATGCCTTGTCAGACCCAAAGGACTGTGGAGGAGAAAGCCTGTCATTGGAAAGTATTCACTTCTCGTGGGCAGCAAATTTTTTTGGATCCTTAGTTCCTAGTGTGTAATGGAACTGGATAAACTCGTTGCATGAAATTGAATTAAATGAAATCTTAAGCCAGACAGAGGGTTAGGTAGCCCTTTAAAAATTTAATGTTTCTTTTTTTCTTCCAGGTTCCATTGCCTTCTCTTTCCCCGACAATGCAGGCAGGCACCATAGCCCGTTGGGAAAAAAAAGAGGGGGACAAAATCAATGAAGGTGACCTAATTGCAGAGGTAAGTTGTTTTAAAATAAAGGAGATGAGTTTGAAGAGACTGGCTTTGCTGAATTGACTGAACATTGACTTTCTGGATGTGTAGTTACCCCTTTGCTTAAGAAACTTGTGTTTTTCACAGCTTGGTGTTAGACAAGATTGGTTAGATGAGTTATCAGCAACTGGCCAAACTGATGTTTAGCCAAGGTGTTTCCAAAGTAATTCCTTCTTTGAAATCTGTCCTAGTGCCTTATCTTCACATGAACTGTGTGATTCTAGACACAAAGGCCAGGCTGACCAATATGGTGAAACTCCTGTCTCTGCTAAAAATACGAAAAATAGCCAGTCCTGGCGGCCTGTGCCTGTGGTCCCAGCTACTCCTCTGGAGGCTGAGGCAGGAGAATGGCTTGAACCAGGGAGCCCTGCGGGGAGGTTGCAGTGAGCCGAGATTGCGCCACTGCACTCCAGCCTCGGTGACAGAGTGAGACTCTGTCTAAAAAAGAAAAATTCTAGACACAAGCAAATAAAGTACATACCAACAGTACCAACTTAAGCTGCCGCTTTTTGTGTTAAAAGGTTGAAACTGATAAAGCCACTGTTGGATTTGAGAGCCTGGAGGAGTGTTACATGGCAAAGATACTTGTTGCTGAAGGTACCAGGGATGTTCCCATTGGAGCCATCATCTGTATCACAGTTGGCAAGTGAGTAGTACCCTCATAATTTGTGAAACTTCATTGCTTGGTGGAGTATTTTAACCCAGAATTGAGAATTAGGAGTTAAAGACTTTTTTTTAAAGACTATTTTGTGAGGGCTGAATCTGCCTGTTTATTATATTTATGTATTCTTTCTCTTTCTTAGGCCTGAGGATATTGAGGCCTTTAAAAATTATACGTTGGATTCCTCGGCAGCAGCTACCCCACAGGTGGCCCCAGCACCAACCCCTGCTGCCACTGCTTCACCACCTGCACCCTCTGCTCAGGCTCCTGGTAGCTCATATCCCGCTCACATGCAGGTGAGGCTCAGTCTCTGAGTGTTTGCTGTAGATGATTTATTACTTACTTTTTTTCGTAGATGGCTACTACATCTTGGAAACTGACATTTAATGTGGCTAATGCTTGTCATTTGGGAGTTTACAGAGATTTAAACATGAAAATTGACAATTTTTCTTCCTGGTTGTTATTTCCAGGTATAAGAACTTGAACAGTTCCTGTAACCTTTCTCAGCCTCAGTGTAGTACACAGGGTAGTGCGTGGCACTTTTCATTCAAGAACACCACATTATAGATTTTGAGGATGATTTTTACTCATATCTACTCCCTGTGTAATTAGAGTTTATAGTAGGCTGTGTTTGTTTTATACTGGCATAAATATCTGGGGCTGGGTAATTTATAAAGAAAAAAAGTGGCCGGGCGTGGTGGCTCACGCCTGTAATCCAAGCACTTTGGAGGCCAAGGCGGGCGGATCACCTGAGGTCGGGAGTTCAAGACCAGCCTGACCAACATGGTGAAACCCCGTTTTTAAAATAAAAAAAAAGAAAGAAAAAACATTTATTTGGCTCATGGTTCTGCAGGCTGTACAAGAAGTATGGCACCAGCATCTGTTTCTCTTGTGGCCTCAGGAAGCTTACAATCACAGGGGAAGGGGAAGCTGGTGTGTCACATAATGAGAGAGGCAGCAAGAGACAGAGGGGAGTGGGTATCAGGCTCTTTATAACAATCAGATTTCCCCTTAACTCATAACTGTGAGGCATACACCAAGCCATTCATGAAGGATCCTCCTCCAATACCCCGACACCTCCCGCCAGACCCCATCTCTAACATTGGGGATCATATTTCTTTTTTTGGGGTGTGTTCTTTTGACATGTGGTGATCTGTTTTCCAAGAGTAAGTGAAGTAGTACGATAGTATTAACAAATGAGAAAACTGACAAAAATAAGTGGCTAAAAATCCAGCCATCCTTTTCTAAATAATTCTGACTTGAATTTTTCCATAATCTAGTTTATTTGTAGAAATTTTTGTATAGAAATCACTTCTTTGGAAATAATGTTCTACTCTGTGGTCTGTTAGTAACAATAAGTTAGGATTTTTGCCAGGTATTCAGTTCCCACATGTATTACATGCTGTTCATCAAATTCTATCTCATGATATGAGACTGACTTAATTCTTCTCTATTTTATGTCTGTAGCTTTGTGTGCATGTGTTCGGGCTTTACCTTGATTATCCTTTAAGATATTATATAGAAATCATTGGCTTTACTGTTCGTTAAGAAGCAGATCAAGATGGCAAATTCTGAACAAAAAAAGCACTTAAAATTTTTTTTCTAAGGCTTGTCTTTTTTTTCCCCCCTCTAGAAACATCTTCAATTGAAATTATTTTCCTCTTAGCATAATGCCGTTGCTAATCGGATACAAAAGACAAAGGGGATAGCAAATGAAATCCGTAATAACTAAATAACCAAATTCCGTGGACACACAAGCCATATAAATAGTAAAGCAATTTTAAATTTAGATAGGCATTCTGATGTTTGAATTTTATTGGGGTGGAAATGACTATTTTAAAAACAGGGCTTTTTTTCCTCATTTAAAAAAATTTTTTTGAGACGGGCTCTTACTCCATCGCCCTAGGCTGGAGCGTGCAGTGGCATGATTTCAGCCCACTGCAACCTCTGCCTCCTGGGTTCAAGGGATTCTCCTGCCTCAGCCTCCCCAGTAGCTGGGAATACAGGCGCACACAACCATGCCCAGCTAATTTTGTGTTTTTAGTAGAGATGGGGTTTCGCCATGTTTGCCAGGCTGATCTTGAACTCCTGCTGGGAAGCTATTGAGGTGCTAAGCTTTTGCTGTGACGAGTATTTGGATTATCATAGTCACCATTATTCTGTGAAACTATATAAGCCTGCCTGACTGTTACTGTGTACAAGTCTTCTTAGTATTAAGCAGTAATACGTGTTTGTTTCTATAGGTACTTCTTCCTGCCCTCTCTCCCACCATGACCATGGGCACAGTTCAGAGATGGGAAAAAAAAGTGGGTGAGAAGCTAAGTGAAGGAGACTTATTGGCAGAGATAGAGACTGACAAAGCCACTATAGGTGAGATTTCTTCAGCTCTTAATGGTTGAGACACTGAGTTTCCCAATGAGGAAGAGGATTGCCATCCTTTCCTATAATGAGTGAGTGATAATATGAAAACTTTATAATTCTTAGATTCATTTTCTGGGATAGAATATTTTGTTTTTATTTAGTTACATTTATCCTTAAGTTTTTATTTATTTGTTTGTTTATTTGGTTTTGAGGCAGGGTCTTATTCTGTTGCCCAGGCTGGAGTGCAGTGGCAAGATCATAGCTCACTGTAGCCTCCACCTCCTGGGCTCATACCCAAATGATCCTCCTGCTTTAGCCTCCCAATTAGCTAGAACTACAGGCCTGAACCACCACACACAGCTGATTAAAAAAGTTTTTTTGTTAGAGATGGTGTCTCACTTTGTTGCCCAGGCTGGTTTTGAACTCCTGGCTCAAGCAATCCTCCCAGCTTGGCCTCCCAAAGTGCTGGGACTCCAAGCATGAGCCACTGTGCCTGGCCCAGGATAATTTATAACAAAAATATGCATAGTCAGATCTGTCAGTTCCATCCTATACTCATTGAATCAAAGACAATCAGTCATTGTCAATTCACAGATTATTTTTAGGCCCAAGTTTG